CATCGGTCCATCTGTCCATCGTTCAGGTGGTTTGATAGCTCTGCGGATGCGAGTCCTTGCTTCCAGCTTCCAGCTCACGCCTCACAACTTACAACTCGCAGCCTCATTCGAGCTGGCCGTCGCTGTTCGTTCTTGTGCAGTGAAACCAAAGCTGCTCTGCCTACAAGGAGAAAGAGGAAAGTAGGGAGGCAGTAAAATTATTCTGTAGGAGTTGAACTAGGGTAAATGCATAATATGAGCGCTTTCCTCTGTGTGTGTGTGTGTGTGTGCGCCGCTGACACACGTGTCAAAATACCCGCTGTGCCTGTCGTGTATGTTCACAGGCAGCCTCGGCCTGCCGGTACCAGAGTTCGTTTCAGGTTTTCCGAGACATCTCTCCTTACAGCTCTCAGTCCAGCGGGTAAGGCGCTGTGACTCCTGCAGCACCCTCAGCATCGCAGGCAGGCTAATAGAGATGTTAGATTTTAATGGCAGTACGGCTTCCGTAATTCTTAAAGTGAGACTCAAGTTATTTTTGCTGTGTTTTAACAAGTTCTGTGACTAAGAAAAGCAGCAGAGGTATTTTGGCATAGCAGTCACAGTGATTTAGTTCACCTTTATAGTTTGGTTTGAGGCAGGTTTTCCTCTCTTACTGTCTTGGTTTTCTTTCTTCATTTTTTTTTTTCATGTTAATCATTCTGGCTTCCAGCACCGTGGAAAAACTTTCTTCATTTCAAAATGTAATGGAGACTAGTTTACGGACTTCCATGCTAGATGTTCCAATATTTATTGTCATTTAACCACCTATTACAAGAACCACCCCTGAAGTAGTAAACTCTTCCAGAAAAATTACTTGCTTCTTAGAAAATGATTCATGTCTGTCCTGAACAAGGCAGTTCTCTTTCACCAACATCTATCTCAAGGCATGAATGCTCGTAGCAGGCAGGAAAATGTGTTTATAAAGTGTTTTAGCAGTGTGGGGAACCCTGGGGTAGCTGTCACTGTTTCCATTCTCTATAAACAATTTTGATACCGTTAGCAAGCGTGATTATGTACAAACCGCTTTCTAGGCTGGGTATCAGAGCAGGCTTTGTACTGAGTCAAGGGGTGGACTGAGTTTACGACACAGTTTAAATAGGAACAGCAGAGCAGTGCTACAGTAGAGCAGCACATCGTAATTCCTTCAGTATCGTTTTGTGATAGCTGCTCAAGGAAGTCCTCGCTTCTTAGCAGCTCGCTTTGAGAACCTCTTTCAGACTCACCCACGAGCAAGTAGCTGAACATAAGAGAGTGTTAACCCTATTTGTTTGGGGTTTTTTTTGCAACTCTGTTTTTGTTTTAAACAAACAAGGAGAAGAGAAAGGAAAAGGAAAGAAGAGGCTAAATGGTAGGACTCTTTAAATTTAGGCTGCTTTTTAAATTCCTTCATTTTTCTGCTTAACTGTTTTTTAAAGAGAAAGGATCTATACAGTAGAGGTGTGTTGACATATGTACACACTTCTCTCTCCCTCTCTCCCTTTCTACCTATATATATAGGTGTCATATTATAAATAAGGCATATTTATTCTATTTATTGCAGTCCAGTACCTGTTATGTCTCCAGATAAGACATAACTACAAAAGCTTTAGTAAATGTTTGCGAGCACTGTTTAGCTTCTATGCTTAGGTCACAATTGCATTTTATTGTTAGGTTTTAATAACATTTTAAATAATAGAAAAAATTCTGTAACTGATGAAAAGCCTTTTTTATCCCAAATATCTGCAAGGTGATCAGAAGCAGGAGGGGAGGGCTGTGGGAAGGCTTGCTCAGAGACATAAACTGGAGTAAGTGCCGCTTCACAGAGCCCAGCGCAGACAGCAATACCGTCTTCTAAAGCTTTTTGGGGGGGACCAACTTGAGTCCCAGCCCCGGTCGTGTTCTTTTCATAGGGCGGCTGCCCTCTGCTGTCTAAAACTGCCTTTCCAGCGCTGATGCTGCTGTGGTGGTGATGGTAGAGAGGTAAGGGAGGGGCAGGTAGCAGGGAGAGGTAATTTCTCAGCCTGGATGATGCTCTCAGAGGAAAGAGGGAAGTTGTTTGTCCCTTCTTCAGCTCTCTGTGCTGAAAGACACGAAGAAATCTCGCTGCTTGTGCGAATAACAAGTGACAGGGCACTTCTGATTTCCCTCTGCCAGCTAAATAAACCAGCCAAAGGCCAGAATTGGCTCAGTTAGGATGAACGATTTTTTGCATCCAAGAAGTAGTGTGAGGGGTGCAATTCCAACCTAGATTGCATTTCTGGGGAAAGCTTCAGATGTAATTTGTGGGAATAATTTTGGTGTGAAGCAGATGAGAGCAGACAGCTTACTTATAAGTGCTCTTAATGACGGGATCTGCTACCTGATACACAGTGATTTAGCCTGTTCTCAGCTTCTAACTGGGATACCAGTAAATGTTTCTGTGCACAGTCCTCACTTTCACAGTCAGAACAATTAACAGTTGACTTATGCTAGTCAACATTGTCTGTGGGAGTGGAGTGGTATAATTTGTCCCTGTTGCTTTGTTCTTCTATGGTTTTCTAATCACTGTTATACCATGAGTATACCTGATATACAGCAAGTCATTCCCTGGGCCATCCTTATACCAATGTGAAACTATCTCATTTCATAGCTTGCAAACCCCAGTTTTGCCAGTATTGATCTCTGCCGTGGAAGGTGCCAGAGGAGCTGATGGTTTTGCTTGAAAACACAAGCAAGTATTTTCCAATTTTGAGACATCTAAAATTATACAGTTCTGATTCTTGTATACAGTTCTGATTTTTGTTTAAAGTGATCCATATTTTTCAGCATGACTTGCCCATTAAGTATAGAGCTTAACCCTTCTAGAAAAAAACCATGTCAAAGAATCACAAATGTCCCTTTAAAGATGTCCTGTTTTTTAATGAAAAAAATTACTAATGGAGTGTCGGTACCTGCCTCTCTGGGCATCAGTAGCACCAGCTCTGTTCATCAGTGTCTGTTCTGTGGAATGGAAATATTTTGATATCCTGTGTGAGTGAACTGATATTTCAAACATTGTGAGCTTTAACTGTAGCCTCCATGCCCAAAGAAGATGCTACCAACAATGGGAGAATCCAGGCCCAGTATTTGAGTTGGCCACCTTTGGGCTTTAGCTGTCTGTGGCTTCCAAAGTGTTTTTAAGTGCAGCTTAGGGTTGGGGTATTCCTACAAAAAGTGTTCGAGAGAAGGATTTTTCTCTTTTGTTCTTAGATAGCTGTGGTCATCTCCTGCATGATTTGCTTTGGTTTACTCGTTTTGAGGTATTTCAGGAATGATCCTTCAGTTGTGCTCAGGGTAACCTCAGCAGGGTTTTAAATATGTGTAAGCTCAACATAATTGTGAAGTTTTGTTTGAATAATCTTTGGATGAGGGAGATCCTGCCTGCCGTCTTGCCCAGGGCGCAATGCCTCCTGCAGCGATTCAGCTGTATGGCCAATTTTCAAATAAACTAAAGTGACACATTTTCTTGACACAGTACTAGTGCACGCTGTTCTCTGCAGTCTGAGGCACTCTGCCTGTGGTTCATAAACACATTTATAGTCCCATTTTCCTCCCTGTGCTCTGAGGGGGTTGGTTTGCATTTCTAATTAATGGAGTTTATAAAGGAATAAGCCAGTATGTTAACTGAAAATTCCCTCAGGAATCGTACACTTACTTCGTTCGCTGCCCTTGTGTAACTGTACCAGCCTTTCTCATGTAAGACAGGGGAGAGCAAATGCGATGTGGAGCAGAAACCTTCCGCTGGTATGAGCTGCAAGGGGAAGTGAGTCTCCCATGTGGTCACGCTCTGCAGCGCAGCTCCTGTTCAGGTTGCCTTCTTCATCCACCTGCCTGTTCCTACCGTCAGCCTCATGTCTCTGGCTCAGACAGCGAATGGTGTGAGGTGATTCAAGGACCTCCCTCAGGGGACTCAGAGAGTAGGTGGGAGCTTTCAGAGAATGCCATAATCTATCCCAAGTAAGCCACATCCACTCTTTGCAGGAGCTACCCTTCCTGAATGCAGAATTTACAGAGTCTGAATTTTCTTTACACCGTGTGAAGGCACATCCTGTAACTCCTCACTGCTGTCAGCTGGGAGTTGGTGGCACAGCACACCTAAGAGTTAAACGCTCAGTGTTTCAGTGGTAAACTGGGACCCTTGTTTATTTAAATCTGAAGTTCTTAATGATCGTTGGCTCCATTCAAATCGCTTGACCCTTATTATATTATACTTGGCTAGCAAGCCATTACTTAGCAAGGTAGATTAATGTTGCAATGTTTGAGTGAGTAACTGGGCTTCCTTTTGCTTTCCACAGACCGGCATTCAGAATGGCAGGCTTGTCCACTTTAATCCTCCTTTTGTGTGCTGCTAAAGATGTGATGCCCTCCAGTTCTCACTGGAAGCCAACTTGGCCGTCGTACAGAGTTCCAGTCATCCTGCCGCAGTCTACCCTTAACTTGGACAAACCACAGTTTGATGCTGAAGCCAGACTGGAAGTGGTTTCTCCCTGTGGCCCAGCATGCCACAAAAGTTCTCCGCTGCCAACTTATGAAGAAGTAAAGAACTACCTGTCCTATGAAACCCTGTACGCTAATGGTAGCCTCACTGAAACTGAAGTGGGCATATATATCCTGAGCAACAGTGGTGATGGGTCTCAAGGCAAATCTCGAACTAAGAGGCAGATCTATGGCTATGATAGCAGGTTTAGCATTTTTGGGAAAGACTTCTTGTTGAACTACCCATTTTCCACGTCAGTGAAGCTATCTACTGGTTGCACAGGGACGCTGGTGGCTGAAAAGCATGTTCTTACTGCCGCTCACTGTATCCATGATGGCAAGAGTTATGTCAAAGGGGCTCAGAAACTGCGGGTGGGGTTCCTAAAGCCCAAGCTGAAAGATAGCAGCAAAGGGGCCAATATCACCAGCTCGGCAATGCCTGAGAAAATGAAATTCCAGTGGATCCGAGTGAAACGGACACACGTCCCGAAAGGGTGGATCAAGGGCAATGCCAATGACATTGGCATGGATTATGACTACGCTCTGCTGGAGCTGAAGAAGCCTCATAAAAGAAAGTTTATGAAGATAGGCGTGAGCCCACCGGCAAGACACTTGCCTGGAGGGAGGATTCACTTCTCTGGCTACGACAACGATCGTCCAGGAAACCTGGTTTATCGTTTCTGTGATGTCAAAGATGAAACGTATGACCTGTTGTACCAGCAGTGCGATGCCCAGCCAGGCGCAAGTGGATCTGGGGTGTATGTGAGGATGTGGAAGAGGCAGAATCACAAATGGGAGCGTAAAATTATTGGAATATTTTCAGGCCATCAGTGGGTGGACATGAATGGCACCCCACAGGATTTCAATGTAGCTGTTCGCATCACACCCCTCAAATACGCACAGATTTGTTACTGGATCAAAGGTAACTACCTTGACTGCAGGGAAGGATAAAGACAATGAAACTCCATGAAAGCACTTAATGACTGGTTTTAATTGCTCATCTGAGGAAAGGCTAAACTTCTGCTGCAAATGCGTGCGATAGGTTTTTGTAACATTGGGATGGGATATATAGCTTTCCAAGCAAGCCACCTCGTTCTCGGGTCAGGGGCTGTGTGGTGCTGTCATTAGAGCTCGAAACTGAGGAGAAAGGATCGTCTTCTGGGTGGGGAAGGAGCAAGTGGACTTGCAGAATTTGCAGCTGAGCAACTGAAGATTAATTAGGGGCGGATCAGTAAACAGTACGAAATCAGAACCGTCTCCAAAGAATCTTATAAAAGGGACGCTGTTGACTATCTCATGCCTACAATGTTTGTTTTAATAAATCCTAGGATTAGTAGAAATGCTTTGATCTGAACTTTAAAAAGAAAATATTTCTGTGCTGTTGGGTGCTGAAGAGGGGCATTTAATGGTGTTTGCAACCCAAACATTACAGCTTTGTGTTCCTGCGTGAGAAAGGGAGTGTGAAAAGGGCAAGGCACGTGCTGTGGGAGACGAATGCCACACAAATAGCGTGAAGGGTAAATAACTGCATAACACTTCTAACCTTCTTTCGGCCTGAGTGATTTGAGACTTTATTATTAGTAACGTAACTAAGAAAAATGCTTTTTGAGCAAACAAACCTTGATGTTGCAAGGACTTGACTGTGAAGATGATGTTGGTCATATGAGCAGTGCGATAGCATCATGATTTGGGAAACACAAATCATACACAGGTTTACATCTTTATAGCAGCTGGGGCATAGCCTTACACCTAGCGAGAGCCCTTTGAATATACTGTTAGAGAAAGCATGTGGGGACAGAAGCTTGTTTTCTGTTATGTTGCTTAGATCTTTTAAGGAAAATCTTGTGTCAGCAACTCAGATTTTGAGAAGGGAAGCCTGTCTTGCTGGCCATCTAAATTGCTGCCTGCGAAGCAGGTAAAAGGGAGAGCAGAACAAAGGTTCTGATGAGTTTTCCCACTTTTTGTTGAAGATCCGTGCTGTTCTACCTAAAAATACACCAGGTGGAGGAAGGACTCTAGTGTCTATCGTATCCCTTTGACAGTGTAATTTGTATGGCGTCTTGTGTGGCTTGGGGCAGGAATCCTCCCCATCAGATTGCTGAGTTACAAATAGTTCTTGGCAAATACACAGTTCGGTAATTCTGCAGCTGGAATAAAGCCACGTTATAGGATGTAATCTGTGTTTGCTACGAAGCGATGCTCTGTTCTCTCTTGCAGATAACAGTGCCTTACATTTTTAACTACAGCAGAATTGGAATTTAAAACAAAAACTATGTTTTATAGGTAAAATCAGTGCAGCCAGATATTTGTAGCTCAGCAAACAGTGATGGGAAGTCTGTTGGTGTGGTTTGTACAAACAGTGTTTCTCAGGTGGGTTGTGCCACTGTTGCGGTAACATGGTTAAGTACATGCTGCCATGCCAGTATTATTATTTTTTTTTAAAAGGAGGATGGACACTGGCTCCAGTTCCAGTTTCTCTTCCACCTATCTCTCACCGTCTCCTGAAGCTCACCAGGTTGCCCGTGGTGCTTGGTGTTGTGAGACAAATGCAAGTCTCTGGTGTGAAATGGCAGAGCTGGGAAGGAAGGAATCTAAGCAGAGCTTCCCTGTGCTATACAAGAAAAATTTTAATTCAGCTAAGCCTTCCTTACACTCTACTAATTACTATGGCATTTGTAAACATATGCCTGATGGTGCTTTATCTTTGTGATGGCTTTGGCTCTAGTTCTGAAAACCAGTTTTTGCTAGAGCTGCCTATGATTATTATTTTTATAAGTGCAGCGTACAAAAACATGGACCCTCGTGTGGGCTTATGGTGCACTCGGAAACAAGCAGTTACAAATGCTTTGAAATATGAATAATCACTGTATGTATCTGATGGTCTTTTTCTGCCTTTTTATTTTAATTTCCTTTACTTTATGGCTGTTACTTGGAGCACTTTTGTTTGAATGTATCACAGTGAATAAAGAAAAGTTACAGAATTTCAATGCAGACATTCTTGTATTTGTGCTGTACTTGGGTTGCAATTTCCCTCTCGTTTCAGATACTTATTTAGAAAGACATTCAGATACAAACCAGATGTATTTATGTCCTCAGTGCTGTTTATTTTCCTTCAGTCTTCTTTTGTCTCCACCTGTTATAGAAGTAATTTGTTATTTTTTTTTCAGTAGGCTTAATTACTCTGTGTCTTTGGACAATAATAATCAATCTTAGCATTCATATAATCGCTGGGGTTCCAAAGCCAGTCATGAGCTCCAATTAGTTAAAGCTGAAAATAAGCTATTAGACTAAAAAGTCACATTTTTTTAATTAACTTTAGGGTTGATAAACTATGGAGGAATTTGTACCATTCAGTATAAGGTCATAAATCTTTTTCTTTTAGTTGATGCGGTAAGAAAAATGTTCCTCTGAAGCCAACAGTGTGACCCACAGTTTTTTGAAGAACAGTGGAGTGCAGAAATGTTCTACTTTTTCATTTGGGAATTGCCGTCCATAAACCTTTCCTGATTTCTCTATGTGCATGCGACATCACGTGGGCTTGAGAACGTCACTCCTGGCTTATGGGACCTATTTCCCATCTGTTCTCAACTGCTTCGTTGGACTGTAGACTGACATCTTTTACTCTCTCGAGATGAATGGCAAAATGGGGTCGTGCAGAAGGCAAATGAGCTTGAGTAACGTAAGCCAGTTTAAAAAAAAAAAAAAAAGAACAAGGTATGCAGCAAGTTTAGTGTAATCAGGGGTGGGAGAGTCACTTTCTACTGTACACCCTGTGCAAACATTCCAGATTTGGAAAAAAAGGACATCTCAGATAACATGGGCAGAAATGTTTCGCTAAAACTCCACATTGTTTCACCTGGGCCCACCTGAGTTGATGGTAATTTTGCGCGTATATGCATTCAGAGTGGGGTTGGGCTCCTACATCTTTAAGAGGCTGACTTAAGAAAAAGTTCTAGTTAATGTGATGTAACTCCTTGGAGAAGTGTGCTGGAGATGGAAGCTGAGGTTTCGAGAAAACACAGACCATGCCGAGCTCTTCCAGAGCACATGGTGAATTTAGCCTACCGAAGACTGCAGAATATCACTGAGGTTCTTTCTCAGAGGAAAGGTATTTTCCTTGCATCTGCAATTGTTTTGCAACCAAATTCCCAGGGCTGCCTGTTTAGAGGGCAGCCCTCATCTTAAAACTTGCACGCTGAACTCCAAGCAAGTATAATACATGCTTGAAATTCTTTTCCGTGTTTCCACTTAATCTGCCATTTGTTAGCGGGTTTTGGTAGCGTGCCAGCACAATATGCACAGGCCTCGAGAAGAGAGGCTTTCAAAGAGTGGATCAAGTGTGATGGGTGAGTAAAAACTTCTTTGCTTTGTGGCAGTGAAAAGGAAGCATGGACAGAGCAGAGTGAAAGGGCAGCCCGATACGTATCGCAAATGCAAGATTCCTGATGAGTTGGTTGCTGTGTATATTGTGCACATTATGTGTGTCTGGAGTGTTTGTATAAAAACTACTGTTTGTTCCCATTCCATCCTCCACTAGGTCTAGAAGAAAAACTTACGAGCTGAAGTACATTGAGCCTCTTAAAATCGGTGTTTAAATGCCAACTCTGAGACCAGTGTGCAGCACCCACATATGGGAAATTTAGACTTGCCTATAGGTACACGAGAAAAACCCAAGTGTCAGGGACATTAAAATTAAGAACCTGATTTTTGCCAACCAGAAGATGTATTTTCCTGTCTTGGAGAAGACAAACATTTGAGCATGCTCCAACACTATTATCAACACTGATTATTCCCAGGATAAAATTATCAGGGATGCTTTGGGTGTGGATTGATTTTGAGCTTAATGGGAATAGGTTGAGTCACAAAGCAGGCTCATAGTGGTTTTTATCTAAAGATCTCTAACAGCAATTAAGTGATTGTGGCTCAAGGGGAGACAATGGATGTTCCTCTGCAAACTCTTTCATGGACAATGTTTATTTTGTTTTACTATAAATTCCATTTGAAAGACAGTATGCATCAGCAGAGATCTACAAGAAGTTAAACACTTCTATTACTGCACCAAGCAGATGCTAAATGATAAAAAATGATGATAAAAAATATCCTATTTAAACAGTGCCTGTAATGAAAATAGCTGACACATGTTAACTGACATTTCCTCATTCGCACTCATTTTGCTATTGGAGATCACTCTTCATGCCGATTTGGAGAGGAGAGGGTATTTTTCTGGCAAGCTTACCCCACGCTAATACAAAGAATTTGTTCATGACATACTGACGCGGTGGGAGTGTGAAAGCTGCTGCCCCTGATTGGAGTGAGAGCAGTAATAAGGTATAATAAATTTTTCCAGCTTATACTAAACAATTTCCTTGAACTATTTTATGCCACATACATTTGTTGATTTTTTTACAGCTTGCGTACATGAAGAAGTTAATGATGATTTAGATGAATTTTTTTCCATCCCCTTACCTGTGAAGCCAAATGTAGTTACTGCTATGGGCAGGTCAGAAGATCACAAAAGTGTTGACATTTGCAGAAATTCATTAAAGGCTTGTCTAGTATAAAGTCCTACTTCTGAGCTCAGGTTGAAAGAGTTAGGTTTAAATGGGGTGTTTTAGATGAGTTTAAACCTGAGCTAGCTAGAAAATGGTTTCTTTTTGGCATTTTCCTACTGTCTCCTTCCTTCTTTTTTTCTGTCCCTGCCTATCCTTGTAAAAGAAAACTTCTTCTGATGAAAAAAATAGTAGTGATCCTTAAAAATGAGGGGATAAGGTGCACTTCAGAAAACCCATTTAATTGGTATGTTTTTGCTTTACCGAAGAGCGAGCCTACCCAAAGGCCTGGCTGTTCTGATCCTTCTGCATCAGGCATGCGGCTCTTTCTTTGGTTTTGACCAAAAATTTCTATCTGGGTCAAAGAAACCTTTCTGTTAAAAACTCATTTGAAATCGAGATGTTTCAGCAAAGTTTCAGTGTCTGTGCATTGCTATAAAAGGCTGTTTTTTCCAATGAATTCCCAGTCAGACCCTGCTTCAGTTAACCTTTTCTGCAGTGGTGTTGTGGTCTCCGTAGGAAGGAGGATGATGTCCCTGCTTGGAAGATGATATTGTTACTTAGCCACAGCGTTCAACAAAGCTGTCTTGTCCAAAAGTTGTGTTTTACCTGATTTTGTTGCAGTCTTCTTAATTCTGAGTGGAACACATGGGTGTTTGTTTGGTTCTTAGTAAGGAAAGGAGCTGTGAGGAGTTATGCACCGCTGCAGCGCAGGGTCAACCGACCGTGGGACCGGAGGCTACAGAAACAGGTGGAACGACTGGGGTTTTCTGGCCTTCACCACCTCACAAAAGCTTCACTCAGCAAAGAAGCGTGGGGAGGGGAAGAAAATGTCACACTGGGCTTCATCCTGCATCGACCAAAGTCTGCTATTGTGCTGGGTGGGAGCCGGATCCGTGTGCAAAGGGATCTGCCACACGGCTTAAATGTCACCAGTCGTGTGGGAGCACTTCTCTCCAGCCAGCCCTTCTGAAGGATCATTGTGGGCAGTGAAAGGGCAGGAAAGACTTCTGCAGAGCGTGTGGGTGGGGGGAAAGCAACCCTTCATGCTGGGAATGCATCGGTTGTGCGGATAACTCTGA